AACCTACTAGGCTGAAACAAACCTAACGAATTTATCCAGAACACAGAACATTCCACAACAACTTTGTATAAGACTACACAAGAAGAGGACAACAAACTAAATCCTCCCAAGAACTCACCACGTTACCTCCCATGAAGTAGAAAAGTCGGAGACCATGGACTTAAGGACTGGCAAGAAGTCTTCACCGTGTATAATTGTGTTGTCATTATACACAACTTTCATATAAGACCCTTAAGTAACAAGACACCATATCAAAGGTATTATCCGCTACCTTGAGCGCGATGATCGCGAACTATGGGGAGGTATGCCTGAAGCGCAAGTAAGCGATTACAACGCCTTCTTAGATGAGGTAAAGGTAATGTATCCTGGATGGGATGGTAAAAGATGCTACGCGCTCGCAGACTTGCGCGCCATTGCGCGCGAATACACTAACAAACCAATGCCCTCTTGTGCAGAACTAAGCAGTTACTTGTGCGCATTCAGGAAGGTCATGCAGCCACTCATGGATGAAGACCGCATTGGAAAGGCTGAACACGACCGCTTATTCATGGAAGGAATCCCTAGCGATGCTCAGGCGCAAATCCGCTTGCACCTTATGATCAAGTTCCCTGACCACCATCCATATGAACCCATACCCATTCATGGACATCTTTGCAGCTGCGCAGTTCCTACTATCTGGGCGTGCTTTTCCCGCGCCAAGCGCACCAGTAAGCGCACCAGTTAGCGTGCCTGTGGTAGCGCCAAGCACACCAGTGCAAGCTAAAGTGGTTAAGTGCAAAGATCGCTACTACGCGAGCCGCGTAACGCAGGATACGACCACTAGCGCTAATGCGACAGCTGGACTCTTCTATCGCGCACCCTCAGATGTTGTACTTGACAGAAAGCCACCAGTTCCAATTCTTGCGCCTCGTGTGCGCACCTTTCCCACGCCTTTGCGCAATTTACGCGCACCTCAACCATCAACTGCGCCAGCATGCAAAGCCATACCAGAATGCACCGCTTTAGATCACGAACTTGAGCATGCGCTCACAAAGCGCAACCAGAAGCGCACTGCAGGCGCCTCTTCACCATCATCCTCATCAGCACCATCTCCTTCACAATCCGCATCATCATCACCAATTGCATCGAAAGTCAGGGATGACTCTAAACATCTATTGCACACCAACGCGCCATCGCTCGAAACACGCGCGCCTACCGCTATCGAATCGCCAGAAGTCAGGGATGACTCTAAACATCTATTGCACACTAACACGCCATCGCTTGAAACATGTGCGCCTATCGCTATCGAATTGCCAGTAGTCAGGGATGACTCTAAACATCTATTGCACACTAACGCGCCATCACTCGAAACACACTCGCCTATTGCATCACTGAAGGAAGAAATCTCGCCAAACGCACCATCACTGCTATCACCACTTGCATCATCAGAGGTCAGGGATGACCCTAAACATCAATTGTGCCTTAGCGCGCCTATAGAGGAGCCTCCTACCGCATCAAAGGCTCAAGTCGCACCTTGCATCAACCAGAGTTTGTCTCTGGAAATTCTAGATGTCACTCATGATCACGCGCACATCGCGCTTTTTGCTCCTAGTGACTACTGCATGCCGGTAAAGCATCCGTGCATCACACCATCTAACCACCAAGCAGAGCATGTCCCAGGCGACCCTGGTGCGACTCAGGCGCACCATATTGCGCCTGAGGACGCGCAATGTGCGCGCCTAGAGGCATTGTATATTTACCCTCATCTCATTTCGCGCTTTTTGTCTTTTTCATGTTTGAAGCTCTTAAGAAGCTATATGACGCTTCCAAACACTTTAATTTCATCTTCGCACCACCCCTTGTTCACGTGCCATGATCGCGCGCGCGTTCCCGCACCTCGCACATTCATAATTTTAGCAGAGTTTTCGCACTATTGCGTTTCTATTGTTTCTCCCCTTTTAAATCACATTTCTGTCATTCAACACAAGGTATATTACAATCAGTCATCCAGGCGCAACTTAGGCGCGCGCCTGACACATACATATGCGCCTAACTCCCCTATCATCACCTTTAACTTCGCACTTCCCACATTTATTTGCATTCTTCGTGCTTTTGCTTACCATGTCAATTTCATTCCTGCGTGCCCTGATGCGCACTATTCTCCTTCACCTATGCGCCTATTGCACCTTGATATACCACCCTTACGGCCCATTTGCGCAACATTTGCGCCTAATACTACACTATATACATCTCCCGCTAACGCATTTGCAGAGAAATGGCCGTTCCTCGCGTGTTCAGCCAATATAATCAAATTTGCGCGAAATCACTTCAAGGCGCGTGCATCGCGCGCACCCTATCAGCTTTTTGGGCGCCCCTACACCCCTTGCAGCGCCTCCCATTGGCGCGCCTTCAACCTGCAGCACGTTGTGCAGGAATTCATTCTGCCAGTCACAAGCCCCCCAAGCGCGCCAGCCTTGCACATTCCAACCCTACCTTGGGTAACGCATTAGCTCGCAAGAGACGCGAAGCGCGCTAGTCATGCGCACGCGCACGCGCTCAAGGAGGAGGATCATGCGCTTCAGCGGCGCACCAAAGAGAAAGATATACCATCGCTGTTCATAGGATATCATTTGTTTTACCCTGGGTTTTGTCCAGCGCGCTTTCATTTTTGTTTCTCTCATTATAATGCTGTCCAAAGAACTAATAACTTACTGATATATATGCACATAGGAGTCGCCAAAAACAACAAAACAGCCTTAGATTGTGCCCGCCTAGCTCAATAGGTTATTATTTTCCTTTCGAACGCATGACGCGGCACCATGCCCTTTTTACCTTAGAACGCGCGCATATGTGCGCAATATTCCCACGCCCATGCACCTCACGCGTGCGCATACGCGCTTCCCGCGCCTTGCTCATAGGAAGGTGTAGATGTCGACAGCCGCACGAAGAAGACAAGTCGGATAGGACATCCGCAAAGTTTACCATTTTTTCCTTCGCATTTTCACATATAGTTTTACTCATGCTGTCCAAACCTTTAGCACCTAATATTTAGCGCGCCTAGCAGGACTTGGTCTGGACATGGATTGGATCACTCTTGGACCACACCACTTTGCATCATACGCACAATACAACACACACAACACTCACACGCTTTCTCACGCCTTGTGCGCGCGCGCTTTCCCGCGCTTCACGCTGTACATGTGCGTCTCGCTCACGCTTTGCGCGCCACATCCATATCACCCTTGCATCATCACCTTACACCCATGGAACACTATTCACACCAGAAGTCACCCTTGCAATTCACCATGCTATGCGCATTGTCGCACCTTGTGCATGCGCGCGCATTCCCACGCCTTCGCACCTCATGCGCACCTGCACCTTCCCACGCTTCGCACATCGCGCAATAATTCCTGCACTTGCGCATTCATCGCCCAACAACCCAAGCATCATACATGCATCACACTCGCATACTATCACTCGAGATCCTCACCACACACGTGCTGAGTGGGGACACTCAGAATTTAAAGTCCCTGGGAGATGTAGAGACTCATGTGTCTCATGGTCTGATATGGCAGTTTCCACCAAGGAGTACATAGCACGAACTTGTAGTGTCACTCCATGTGCTACCTGTATACGCGCGCGCGCGTTCCCGCACTTGAGCGCCCTATAGCGCCAGCCATCCAGATGCATCCATCCACTGTCCACCATGTTCTCTAGTGCGTATATTTCTATTTCTCTCATCTGCATATTGTTCCATCTTTATTTTTATCATGGACTCTCACCCATATATATCTTACATACCTACTCGGTAGCGCTTCGGCTCTGCATGACCGCGCTTAGGCACGCTATATAAGCGCCAGCAGTACATACTATTATGGACTTTTGAACTAACTTTCCATTTTTACAACCCAACTTTTCCTACCTTTCACTTTACTTTACTTTTACTTTCACCTCTCCCTTTACCTAGTACTTACTACCTAGAAAGTCACAATAGAACTCTATTCCTTTACATCTCGCACTCTCACATCTCTTGCATCATATTATCACTTAAGTCTAGTCTATCTATCATTTCCGCATACGTTCGCGCGTTTTCCCGCGCTTCGCGCTAATACGCGCGCGTGTTCCCGCGCCTTGCGCGCACCTGCGCTTTCTTGCGCTTCACTTCGGCACATACCTCTATATCTTCGCTGCACTCACTTCCCCTTTAGGGTCGAATGCACTTGTCTCCTCAAGTAACGCAGACTAGGCAAAGCACGACCTTACAACATTTATAGATACAGTCTGGAGCATCATTTGTTCCTCTCTGTATTGTTGTTTCTACACTGGAACTCAACACATAATTTAGTTAATACTTTTTGATGGTGCACAGGTTGTCTTTCGGAATGTGGAATCCGGGGTGCGAAGCTTGTGTTGCCCTACAAGAAGCCAAGTTCCGAGTTCTGAGTTCTGAGTTCCGGGACCCGGAACTCAACACATAATTTAGTTAATACTTTCCATGTTAAATGGCCAACCGAAGTTGAGATGTTTCTGAAGAGAGCAGCAGGTGCTCTCTTGACATGGCCTTTGATGGTGCTTAGGTTGTCTTGCAGAATGTGGAATCCGGGGTGCAAAGCTTGTGTTGCCCTACGAGAAGCCAAGTTCCGACCACCAAAATGTGAGTCAACCGTACTCAGAGGAGGTAATAAATCAAAGTTACCAAGTTCCTGGAGCAGCAGGTGATCTCCTGACATGGCTGTGTGAAGCTTGTGTTGCCCTACAAGACGCCAAATTCCGGTCACCCAAATATGGGTCAACCGTACCAACTTCCGAGTTCCGGGACCCGGGAGTCGACAAATGAATATCTGATGACCAGCACACTTCCAATCAGGTAGTATTTCATTAAGCAATGGATAATAATACATCTTTGACAGCCAAAATTATCCCAGGCTCCCTTATCTGATCCTCTCTATCTCCACCCCCTATAACACCAAAGTCCGGACATCCAGCATTCAGTGTCTGATTTCCCAAGATTAACATCCAGCATGAACAGTTCTTCCCCTTCCCCTCCTGATAGCATAAAAATCTGGCGCACTTGGGCCCTGACTGTGACTTATGAAGCAGGGGAATATACCGAACAGAAATTCAAGGCAGAGAAGACTGGAGGAGGCCCAGTCATACCTTCCCCCAACCTAGACACTGATCTGGTGATGGTGTGCGATCACTTGGCTGATGTACTCATAAAGGCATATAAAAATCCCAGTGGGTCTTCATGCAGATTTGGAAAATTTGTTTTATCATTCAAATTCCTGCATGACAGTTCAGATGCAGATGGATATTGCAAGATATAGCAAATTGATCTCCCCAAAGGACACTGGGCATAATGAACATAGAGAGGCAAGGTTGCTTGAGAGGTGTCCTCCTGGCCATGAAGGCAAAAGGTTGGTCGACGAACCTGCCACAATTGTCGATGCATCCGGTGCCATCATTGCATGGTACCTCCCAGACGCCCTGACCGACACCACCCAGGTGTGTAATATACATACATTGTTACTCAATGGATATTGAATATTAATGGAACCTACAGAAGGAAATCAGGGAGGCCACCGATTTGCTTGCTCCAAGCCTCGAAAAAAGTGTAAGGGCTGATGGCAATTGGCAAACTAATCAAACATTGTTCAACCGGAGCTCGGAAGATGTTGGACCAACTCCCAGATGCATCAATCTATCTCCAGCATGGTTTTAACAGGGACATGAGGTAGGATCCAATGAGATGGTGATTCTGGCAGTCATACTCACCAATCCTAAAGAATGTGTCAGATCCGGAGGTATCTGCATCATTGAAGGGACCTTCCTGCGAGAATATCCTCAAAGCCATTGCAAGGCCAGCAGCCATCACGTCAGCGGCACTCAGAGTCATGCATCCTGAGCAGTACTGGGCAGGGTTGAGAACCTTGTCAAACCTTGGAAATATAGCAGTAAGCAAGGATCTGCCACAGATGCCGGAGGCCCTGCAGTACTGGGCATCCGTGTTTAACACCCTCTCCATCATTTCCAATCGGGAAACTCCCCATCATCAAGACCACATGTCCATTGCTGAATGCTTCAACATTCTCACCACCATGGGGAACTATTCTAATGCTTGGATGACAATGCCAAGCCTTCAGCTGGAGTTCAAGTACAATTCCGGCTGTATGATTGCGTTTTCCGGAAGGATTGTGAGACATGGAGTTTATGATGTGGAAGGGGATCGGATTGCTTGGGCATGGTATATGAGGGATGCTGTTCACATTTACACTGGTGTTCCATCATGTGGATGGTCCATACAGCGTGTGAAAGATCAAACAAAGAGCAAGCATTGTGACCTATATACATTCCAACAAATGAATACCATGTACCAATAGTTATCCGGACCTCAATACTCAATTTTGAGCATTTTCAAAGTGATATGTGGGACTGAATAATTTGGATGCAAGCCTCGGTATTCGATAATTGGAACTCAGGACTTGACATGTGGGAGTCCCGAGTGCCGGGTGACTGAGTCCCGACACCTGGACCTCAGCACATGATATTTGAGACTGGGGGAAGATGTATAAATACGCTCAAATTAACATTTGTTATTGCCATACACATTTGACAAAACCCTGAGCCCTGACATTGTGGACTCCGGACTCAACACTGTTCTGAATACCGAGTCCTGGAAGCCCAGGTCCCGAGTCCCAAATTTCGGAGGTCAGGGTTCGGCGACCTGGAGCTCAGCCACTGTGTTGGGTGTCAGGGTATCCAGAGCATTGGAGATAGCATGTGTCAGTATTTTGCGTTTCATGGTTCATGTTTTGTGGTTATGGAATCAGGCGTCAGGGACTCGGTATTAAGAACAGTGTTGAGTCCCAGGTCACGAGCTCCGAGTCCCGAGTGCTGAACCCCAGGTCCCGAGTCCCAAATTTTGGAGGTCAGGGTTCGGCGACCCGGAACTCGGCAACTGTATTCGGAGCATTGGAGATAACATTTGTCAGTATTTTGCATTTCATGGTTCATGTTTTGTGGTTATGGAATCGGGCATCAGGGACTCAGTATTGAGAACAGTGTTGAGTCCCAGGTCATGAGCTCCGAGTCCCGAGTGCCGAACCCCGGGTCCCGAGTCCTGAATTTTGGAGGTCGGGTTTCGGCGACCCGGAGCTCAGCAACTGTTGGGTCTGGGGTTCGGGACTCGGGACTCGGAGCTCATGACCTGGGACTCAACACTGTTCTCAATACCGAGTCCCTGATGCCCGATTCCATAACCACAAAACATGAACCATGAAACGCAAAATACTGACAAATGCGATCTCCAATGCTCTGGATACCCTGACACCTGACACAGTTGCTGAGCTCCAGGTCTCTGAACCCCGACCTCCGAAATTCAGGACTTGGGACCTGGGCGTCCGGGACTCGGATGTGAGATTTTTGAATGCATAGAATATGTTACATCTTGTATACAATGAAGACTGAATGGGACTACACTCCTTTGCCTTTCCTCAATTTCTCTAACATGTCAGTATACATCTTCACCTCTCCCATCTTGGCTTTGATGCCCTGATCTTGCTCCTCCATCAATGCTTCCATGTGTTCTTTAATGAACCTCAGTCCCATAAGTGGTGGAGTCAAAGTGTTTTTCAACTTCTCTGGAAGAACCAAAGCATCATCCTCAACATTAAGCTGAAACAGATAAGTCATAAATCAAGGTAATTCAGCTAAAATCTTACCGCCCAATACTGGTAGTGAGAGATGCAGGAAGCCATTATTTCATCCCACTGCCATGGTTGATCAGGGATTGTGGTGTTTCCCATCCACCATGGACATGTATATGCGAACACAATCCGGGACAGATGTCCTGCAATTGGCTCATCATGAAATGAAAGGAGGTGGAATGAAAAGACGTCGTCCAGAACCATGTTCCAGGTTAGCATGGAATACAACTTAAGGATATAAGTGACAGGGACTGGAACCACCGACACGATATTCTGTGAAGCGGAGTACTGCAGAAGTGGTGTGACAAAAGTCTGCTCAAATTCTTAGCATTGACCAACAAAGTCATCAGGGCAGTGGTAACATACATTCATCTCCCATTGCAGCCCAGCTTTAAAATACTTGATCCGGTCAGAAGATACACCATTGTTGGCAGCTTCCGTCCAATATTGAGAGATGCATGCACAGATGCACGATCCAGCCATTGCCAATGTGCAGGAAATAGTTGCAAGGCTCAGCTTCAGGGGTTGGTAATGGCTTCTGGCATTCAGAGTGCCAGAAGTGGATGCAGGAGTTGCAGACATGGCTAATACAGGACTATGGCGCTGGCAATACAAGTGAAATATGGTGAAGATGTGAAGATAAGAATCACTGATGGATGGATACAAAATTCAAACTCCGACATGGGCTGACACGGACAATTCCCAGGCCTCAATTATGTATGTGGAAAAAGGGACTTCATGAGAAAACAATGTTCATTCATCTTCAGCCTCTATCAACACATTTTGTAGGTCTTGAAAAGCTGCCTGCGCATCCTGTGCGAGCAATGAATACATTTGGGATTGCCTTCCAGTGTAACATCCTTGACCCGGAAGGTGTTTCTCCAATGATTCCTGCATGTGGTCGCCCCATTGGGTTGTTTTCCACAAAAAGAACTTACATGTCCAATCCATCTCCAATTTAACCAATAGCATTTCTTCCCTCCATTGATCCTGTAGTGCCTTTGCCCTCAGCCAATGGACTCAGTAAACTTGGCATGGGTCCAGTCAGGTAACCGTGGGATACGACATGCAAGCAGAAACTCACATTCCTCATTCCACGATTGATCGGGACCCCCAAGGTCGACTTCAACAGACCAAAACCAAGCCAAAGATTCATTTCATTGACCTCAGGCATTTGTGTCGCCCACTGCAGTGCTGATTTTGAGTTGCTCGTGAAGCAGGGGTTTGTATTTCTGAAGCTGGTCTTGCCCCGGCTCAAGTTTCATCATTTGCTTCCTTGTCTTTGTATATATGCTGGCATGGAGGGAGACTGCCTGCTGCACCGACATCACCTGGGACCAAGCTCAAGTTTTCAGGGCCTGGGATTTGGCCCGCCTAACGGTTGTTCGGAACAGGATGGCCTTGTTGCAAAGGTAAATGCGGAGATTGTGAAGGGCATCATTGGCCTGCCCTTCATGAAGCGACATCTCCAGGGGAATCAGATCCTCTGCCATGCATTGTCTGCATCTATCAACCCCCAGGTTTGATGGCAATGGAATTACAGTGAGCTCGGGAGAGTTTGTCCATGTATGAGATGTCTCTGTGAAATCCGCCAGGTCATCATCGAGATCATCTAGAATGTCTACATCCAAGTCCTCAGGTTCATCATCTGCATCAAATCCCTCCCCGAGATGTGTTAGAGCAGACCGAGCAAATCCATCTATCTGGCCTTGGAGCCGATCCCGTTGACGGGCAATGTCTAATCTCTGTGTCTCGGTGGATCTTCTTCCGATCCTTCGGACCTCAATGAGCAATGCAATCTGAGCCTCTTCAATTGCTAACCCTGTTGATATCCATGTTGCCACAGATCTGCGAGAGGGTGCTGCATTGCAGGCATTACCCTCCTTTAACAATCTAAGCTCAATCTCCTTTTTGCTAGGTGCTGAGTGCAATATTAATTCAGACCTCGATGGAGACAATGGAACTCAACATACCCTTTTTGATATTGATCTCATATTCATCCATGGCTGAAGGATCATTCAATCTGCTTGACTGAGCTATCCTCTCCCTGGCTAACCATTCTGTCTTCAAATGTGAAGGTGCTGCTTCATCGAGTCTGTCGAATGCTTTTCCACTTTCCGAGATGCCATTCCTAGCCAGTTTGTATTTCCGGCATAGAGTCCTTTTCATGTGAATCATCTTGCAGAAATTGGAGTCATTCATCTGATAATCAAGGCATTCCTTTCGGTGGGGAGATGACATTCCCCGAGCAGCAGGGGAGATCAGATTGAGCCGTGCCCATAGCGTCTCCATGATCTCTCCATCGATCCTACCAATGCCTTCAATAAAGTTAGAAGCATATCGGACATAGCAGCTGTCCTGATGGCCATGAACGTACCACAACCCAATTCTGGGAATGATGGTTAGTTGTGGTGCCATTTCTAGAAATCAACTTTGATCCACCTGAACCCGAAAGTGTTTGTTGTATTGACAATTAATATCATAGAAGGTGACAGCCCTGGTGATGCCTTCCATGTTGTGCCGGGAAGCCTCGCAAAGGGCGTAGTCCATGTTCATTTGTCTGCAAGTGACCCATGGTTAACTCGTGAATGGGGAATGGTGGATGTGGCTTGCCTTTTGCCTTTCTGAAAATCCACCATGGAGTGAGGGACAAAGCAACCGTGTCTGGCACAGGCAACTCCCCCGATACCAGTGGACTCCAGCTTGTGCCGAGCAGCATTAGCTTGATTTACTGCCCGGTGATTGTTGCAGCTTGATTTTTCCACTGTGTCAGCAGCCTCTGCCAGATGCATTTTATACCTGTCCTTTCCTACCATGAATCCAAGCCCATCGGACAGCCAAACTTCATCAAATGGCTTAATGGGATGCAGATGTTTGGCTTTGAAATTTCCGTCCATCACAAATGACCGGGTGTATTTCCAGCTTGGATCACTAGTATTATTATGGAGGCCACAGCGGTTAAGAATAGGACTCACTCATCAAGAGATTCATCCTCTGACAACAGCACATTAATCCCAGGCTGAGGACATGCCAGGCAAAATAATGCAAGTTCTCCTGTGCTCGGGTTATCAGAACAATGGCCAAAGCCATGCCATTTCATTGTCTTCAACTGCCTCCACTGTCAAGCGACTCTCATGAGCTCTCTGTATCGGTCCTTGCAATGTGCTTTGTCAATATGATGTCCAGTAGATGAAGAGGGTAAGGCATTACTGGAACAAGGTGTGGAAACATGCTTGAGGTCATTCGCCGGAGCTTGCTGTAATAGTTCATCGCCGAGGTGCCTCATTCAAGGCTGTCCAGTAGAAAATCATTGAGCACTCTGAAGGTGAACACAGTCTTTGGCCTGTTAAAAGATGCAGGGAAAAATCTGTGTCGAAAAATTTGAATGTCCGGACTCATGGCATTCGGACATTCACAGCATCGAACCTCCAGGCAATGAACTCCGGACTTGTCGACAATGACCATGGTGTTTTCCTTTGGCTGGAACTCAGGTCCAGACACAAATGGCAGATCTTCAGGCTCGAGCAGGTCTTCGGGTTCATCTTCTTCAAACAAATTCCACCAATTGGTGACCACCGGACATTGTTTGCCATCATGGCCAAGGTATATAATGAGTCCCACATGAGCTAGACAACTCCGCTCGAAGAATCGCCCATTCCATTGACTGATCCAGTAGAAAGGATTGCTACGATGTTGACTCCTGCAACAGCCCGTGCAATAGAGTGGCTCACCAAGACAATCTTGACATTTGTACACCCCACCCTGTTGGCAGATGATGCATCTCCTGTCTTCTGGTGGAGCTTCTTGATCGAGGAGGTGATGTAGATATGATTCCTGCCTTGGCAGCCATTGCCTGAGGTAGTCATTTTGACTCTGTATTTTTGAATGCTTAGCCATAGTTTGAATGACACTCCAACATTGTACATGAACTTGCCATGGTTTTTGGGAGTTGCAAAGGCTCAAATGAGCCTTGATCCTGCTCGTAAGTATTGTCAGGAAAGTCTTCCCAAATCGAAAACGAATTTGAAAACCAGCCTTCGAACTCGAAATGGACGGGGAGGGTATGCCACTCCTTCCGGACATCACCGACACCAAACTTGAGGAGAAGAAGGCCATAGTGGGGGCCTTTCTTACATCGCACTATCGTGAGTTTGTTGTCGCATCACCTGACAAATTGTTCAATGCATGGACAAAGGGATATGCTCTGGGAAGGACAAGGCGGTTATGCCATGGAGTGCCATTGTACAAAGTCAGGATGACTTCATGGCCTGGACATATCTTCCGGCGGATGTTGACTTGAAGGAACCTTCGAAGCTGCAAATTTGGGACACCACTACCTTGCTCCATTTCTGGCATGCTCAGCAGGAAACAGGTGAAGGTCCCACATTTCTGTTCAAAGCATGGAAGAACAAAGATGGGGACATGATACCATCTGTCATATCTGGCAACTTGCCCTCTCCTCAGACTCGTATAGTGAGAAGGCAGCAGAGGGTTACCATCTGAAGGCCTTGGGAGTCATCGACAGAAGCCGAGAGTGATAAGGAGAGTGCTACTCATCATATGGAGCATGATGTGGATGATGACCTGGCTGACGGGAGACCTCCGCTGAAGAAACACAGGACGGGAGGTCCTACACCCAGAGGGCCGGCAGTCCCATGTGCAATTCCAAAGCCTTGCCTGGCCAAGCCGGCCAAAAAAGGTGTATTACTGACATCACAAATGGGAGACCTCCTTGCTGGGTTAACTGAAGATGCGACGGGCGAGGTTAGAGATGATGTTGAAATGGAAGAGAGTATCACGCTGCCGGCACAGAAAAGGAGGCGGGGCACTCGAGTCACTGTTGAACCATCCACGAGGATGACCCGGAGTAAGTTGCAAATGCCAGTAGACTGTACACCTAGAGTAACCAGAGCACGTGGACGCACTTAATGTACATATATGTTCCTGCCCTCATGTGTAATGTCATATGTGCTATTATGTATATGTCAAAGTACTAACAACCTAATTGTAAATCACAAATCCCAAATCTCGAGTACCAAGGCCCGAGTACCGAACCCCAAATGCCAGGCACTGAGTACCAAGTACCAAGGCCCGAGTACCGAGCACCGAGTACCAAGCACCGAAAACCGGGCAGCGAGTACTGGGTAGGTAGAGTATACAAGTACCAAGGACTACCTACTGAGTAAGTACAGTATATAAGTACCAAGTATTAAGTACTTAGCAGGTGAAGTATACTGCAATGTGTCTACTATCAGACATTGATCAATATTTACATGTTACTTGAGTCCTCAAAGGCCTCAATGAGGGTATCTAATACCTTCAGCATTTCAGAGGTTGACTCCCTTACCCTTTGCATCCTCTGGAGGTCAGCATCTGCTTTCCACAGCTTGTCACATGTTTCAGCCCATGCCATCCTGAATGGTCTGTCAGCCTCAAGAATTTGTGCTACTGTAGGGGCAGGAAGATCTCCATGACGCTGTTGGTAATCACCCAGGAGATCTACAATTGATTGAACTTGCAGGATATTAGCAGAGATAAATAATCAAATGTTGCATACTTACTTTCAGCTTGATCATAAGATCTGATTGGCATGAACTCCTGAACCATGGCACACAGTGCTTCATTGTTGAGTTCCAGCTCGGGTGATTGACATTTGGCAGTTTCTGAAATAGCTTGGGAAATAATATGAGTAAAGAACATGAAATGATATGACTATACCTACAAGGTATGAGTGCCTCTGGTACAACCGGAGTGGCCAGATGAGGCTCCGGAGTCGATTCATTCACTGGGGAAATGCCATGAAAGGTGAACATGAAATAGAAAGAATGACCTCACCAGCCATAGGAAAATCGGGTACAACCGGAGCATCATCAGACGAAATCAAGGTATCCTCTGGACCAAGATACAAGTCCGGGTCATCGTAAAGGGCCAGTCCATCCGCCAGAGCCGGATATGATGGATCTGGAAGTATGTGATGAATTTGCACATGTGGAATATGTACATTTGAATTGGAAAACATACCAGGAATCACATTCAACACATCCAAACCACCGGACGACCCAGAATCAGAGTCTAACTCATCATCCGGCCCAAGGTATATATCATCTAATGGATCTAAACTATGTCAGATCAATTGACTGAAATCAGAAGAAAAAAAACATACCAAGGGACATCCGGGACTGGGAGGACTCATCCACATCCATTGAAGTGAATTCAGTGACCGGAGGGTCATGAAATCTGACCCCAGGTTGAGAACTCATGATATCTGATGAGCTGATGAACTGATGAACTGATTGATAACTGATAACGTCGAAGTTCAACAGATGGCCAGCGATTGCCAAAAGTTGAACCATGACCAAACAAACACAAACAATGAATGATTTTCAACATCGTCCTTCAATTGTATTGTTTCTTTGAAACTTCATTCTAGTGATAACAGATTTCACCCTGCTTTCAACATTCTCACATCTGTCAACTCAATCCAAATGTCTACCCAAGTTCAATCTTCCTTGGCCGACCTCAAAGCATCCACTGCTCAACTTGTGGGCATCATTGCCGGTGCCCGGCACATCCCGGCCAGCTCAGTGGATGTCCACCTTGCTCTGACAAAGCAGGTCACCACTCTTTTGGTATGTTGAACTCATTAAATTAGTGTAACATTAATGTTTCTAATGTCCGGGTAGGCTGACATCATCCAGGCCTATGAGAAAGGGGAATACATCCCTGGAATTGTGGCGTCCTACTCCAAGGAGCTGATGAGGGTGTGTTCCATGACTCCCCGGGCATTGCCCAACTAGTACAGTATTGGCCATGATGACCCCTGGGTGGCTAGACACGCCTGGCACAAGCAAGTCCGTGCCTGGGAGGCATTGGGTGACAATTCCTGTGATCTCCCTGTTGTCCCTAATGTTTCCACTGGCCCACTGACTGTCAACCTTCCGTCTCCACCTGTCCCTTCACCTGCACCTGTCCCTTCCCCCACCCCTATCATTTCCTCACCTCTGGTCATCGCCAGACCTTCCGGCAAGACGACCCCTGAGGTCTGGGACAAAGGAAAAGGTAAGGCCACCTCCGTTGACCTGGAGCTGGAAGTTGGGGGGAGCAACAAAAGGAAGTCTCCGATGATTTCCGGACACTCCTCCCAACCTCCAAAGTCAGCGATGAAGGCACACAAGCATGTCAAGTCAAGTCAACTCCCGAAGTTGAAGCTGTTTGTGGAGTCAGAAGATGATGAAGACCCAATTGTTCAGGTACGTGTTCTGGTGTATTTGTGACATGCTCTCAATTTGTTGCAGCCGATTTCACATGGAGTGCCGGAGGTTGTCCTTCCTCAGCACTCCACCATTGTTGTAAGGAAGCCCCAGTCGCCTCAGTCACCCGGTTCCCCCAAGAAGCAATCATTTGGGCCTGCTTCGGTAAGTCTGATTTATCCATTTGGACCTTAAATATATGCTCATGCGTCCACAGCTGACTGCCGGCAGTCATCTGGAGGTCACAGTGAGTCATTCGGACTTGTCCGGACCTCCCATGTATAATTGTCACTCATTCCCATTACATTAGAAATCTCCCATCAGTCATCCAGAGGCTCGCATCAGTCGTCCAGAGGCTCGGGTAAGTCTTAGAAGTTCTCCAGAGACTCATATGTGTATTCACAATCCGTCAGGCAACCTCCGGCAGTCGTCCAGAAGTTGAGGAGCCCTCTGAAGATACTTCCAGTGCTTTTGATGGTGACCCACCGGCCAATACCACATTTGATATTACCATTCCTGGCCCAGTGAGTACTCCAATTAATTCCCCTTGGTCCATCTACTAACAGATACCACAGAACAACCCCTGCCATTATTGTGTCAAGGAGAATTGGCCCTGTGCAACTCATTTGGACAAGAGGATCAGTCTCCCCTGCTTGTCTTGCATCTGCTGCTCCACCAAGAAGATCAAATGCAACCCTGCATCTCTGGGATCCCCACCCGAACGGATCCGAGGGAAGTCTACCACCGGCCGGACGCATTCCAAGACACCTGCCCCTGCTCCATCCAATGCTCCGTCTCCCTCCCGGTCAAAGGCCCAAACTCATAGTCAATCTCGTGGCCCGTTCCAACCTCTGGCCATCCCTGCTGCAACTACACCCCAGGTGCAGTCACGTGGTCGCAGCAAGACCATCACCATCAAGAAGACACCTGCACCTGCACCTGTCCCTGCACCTGTCCCTGCACCTGTGCCAGCTGGTAAGTCACCCAAACCCTTGATGACCGGCTGACCTAATTTTTTACTTAGCAGTCAGGTCTTCCAGCATCACAGTGCCTCATGCAGCACTCAATGTTCCCATGCCAGATCTCCATTCCATGGCAATTGCGATTCGGGATGGTGCAGGTCGCATCACGATTCTTGAGGCTCAGGTGCAGGAGCAGGATGCTAAGATTGATACCCTGCAATGCCTCCATGAGAGCCTCAGGTGCATGGTGATCGACCGGCACCCTTCATTTTCACTTCTGGACACACCGGCCGATGCATCAATGTTGCTTGATCAAGGAGATCCCCCCCATCCATGTTACCCCTCCCCTCTGCACTTTCCAACCTCATTGATTTGGACATTTCAGTGATGGAACCCACACCCTTGACACCTGAGCATGGATCTGCTATGGTAGGTCCCATGGTTGAGCCCACCCAAGTTCAGCCTGAGGGTCCACAATCCTCCGGCAAAATTGTGCTCCAGGATGAACCAGGCAACCTCTTGCCAGAATCCTCCGGCGATATTGTGGTCCCTATGTCAGAAATTTCCTAGTGGCATCAAAATGCCGACATATTTTAATGCAACCAAGTGCGCATTATCACTGTGATCAGAATCAGATTTAGACGTACCTTAGCTGAGTTTTAATTACATCATGATGCTATCTCAATCTTGGATTAAGCATTATATTAAACGTTGAACTCCAAATCGTTGCTGTTAAGCCTTGTATCTCATATTTGTGCAATATGTGCTTTGTTTATTGTATGCTTCAAAGATGCCAAAGGACTCACAACGTTCCTCAGAAGAAGTTTTATGCGACATATGTGGTACCATGATTCAAGCTCATGGGCTAGTCTCGCATATGAGGAAGTGCGAAAAACAGGAAAGGTTGAGGATAGAACAGGCTGAGCTCGCTGAGATCCTTCAGGAAAGTGCAAAGACGCGTGAGTACTACTTCTTTGGAGCAATTGATCTACATATGTCATCTTATCAATATGCAGATCACCGCAAAAAGTCTCACCAATCTAACAAACCCATGCCAGGTAAGCTCACGACAACTTCGACAATTATATGTTGACCTTTCTGATGGTTAGCAGTTGATTCGATTTCAATATGGACCATACGTGATGGACCATCTGCTGCTGGTGGGGACAATGTCTCGGAAGACATTAGTATGTTCTCGGGTTACTACTAAAGTTTATGAGTTTCTGACATGTACATCAGAAATGCATGGATCGTCACCCTGCAGTCACCAATCAGTGGATTTCAATCTGGGGTCCCCTCACTTAGATGGTGCTGATTTCGATCCTGCCCTTGACCCCGAAGCGGTGGAACCGCAACCTCAACAAGATGATATTAAAGTGGAATATCACCCACACAGTAAGATACCCTCGACCATCCATCGTTTTGTAGACTTTTCCCGTCACCATTCTATGGAAGATTCTGTGCCTCGTTGTCATATCCCGTATTCCGGACCTACATCCGATAATATTCCCACGCCTCATCCGGACCTTCGGATGTCCTATCCATGTCTCCAGTACCCATCCGGATCCCTGCACCTCTGCACATCCACATCCGCATGTCCACGTCCAGATCCCTTATCCTTCGCAGCTAGCCTGCATCATTCATCCTTGTCCCAACCCCCTAATGCCACATCCTATATATCCACGCATCTCATCCGGACCATATCCGATCCGGTCCGATCCGATGTATAGATCCGCTTCCGATCTGATATAGATAAGCTTCCTAATTCATTTCCTATTCTTATAACGTTATACACAGCCTATTCGGTATTTCCTCTATTCCGCTGTTTCGGTTATATCTATTACCGGTATGCTTACTGATCCATTAACCTATGTTCATTTCCGACTCGCATTTGTTAACCTTTGCATATGCTTCATACATAGCCTCAGACTCTGCTTATTGATCCTTCCGTTATTTCTGTTAGTATATAAACTTGTGTATATGTCTTGTAGTACCTCAGTCTGAATATCATATTAGTCCTCGCACTAGTCTTCACTCTAAGTCCTCATATCAGTTCTAGTCTTCCAACTTAGTTGATATCCATCTCAGGCCTAGGGAGTTTCTCCCTAGGCCAGAGCTCCGCTCTTCCGCTCCTCCACTCATCCGAAGTTCCGGAAGTTCATCCGGAACTTTCCCGCGGTCCTCCGGACCTATTCTGCTTCGGACTTTGTCCTTGCAGCCTTTCCTCTGTTTGCTTCTACTCAGGACAAGTCCTGAGTAGCCATTACACGTATCTGTATTGGGACAAAACCCCATTGTAATTTCCGGAACTTTCCCACACTCATCCGGAAGTTACTTGTACCCGTCCAGAAAGTCCTTCCGAAGTTTCCCGCACCTTCGGACGTCTTCAGACTTTCTTCAGACACCAATCTGAAATTAAGGGCACATACTCGGGTAAGGGGCGCAATGCACAAGCTGAAGCCAAGCCCCTCAGAATCAGTCCTACCCTTTGTGCATGGTCTTAACACTCGTAGCACTTCTCCGTGGGAACCTTTCCGAACGCGACTGGACTTTGAGGTTGCAGAGATAGCACTTGAGGCAGCAATGACAAAGGACCAAACCAACCGGCTCTTTAACCTCCTGCACCGCTCTGCATGTGGTAAAGAGGCTTTCACATTGCAAAGTCATGATGAAGTCCGTTTGTTTTGGGAGATGGCTTCCGAACGGTTCACACCAGTGAGTGTTTCTAACGATGCATTATGTCCAGGCTCATCAACATCATTTTCACAAGCGTAGTTTCAGAGCAGTGTAGTATCTGTGAAATACTGAAGTGAAGTTCATGATTTTAATATGTACTCCTGACCTCTTTGGGACTGGGCGCTAGACCTGCTGCGAGACAGTCGCTTCATGAAGCATTTTGTATTTGATGCCCAATGTTTGTACAAGTACAACGGAGCCCACTTCACACGCTTCTTCAATGAGCCCTGGACTGCCAATGCATTTTGGGATGCTCAAGTATGTACCTACCTTGACCTTTCGACTATCATTAATACATTGTATTTCAATTGTTATATTAGTCGCGACTTCCACCAGATGCTAAGTCACTCGCATTCATTCTTTATGCCGATAAAAATAAGTTGTCATCTTTTGGAACTCAAAAGGGCTATCCGATTATAGCGTGAATTGCGAATTTGCCCATTGAAATCCGAAATGGTGTTGGTGTGGCTGGCAGTCGAGTTGTGGGTTGGCTGCCAATTGTAAGTGTCTAATATGAATCTCGCACTTGTTTGACCTTAAACATCGAGTTATGAACAATTTCATTAGGTCAACGAAAATCAAAAGGATAGCGGAAAAGCAAGTTTTGTGAATTTCAAGAATGCAGTTTGGCATGAGTCGTTTTTGCAGCTTATAGAGTCGGCCATACAGCATTCAAAGACTGGTTATTGATTCGACTGTGGGGACCTGATACAATGCCTTCTTTGGCCAATAATATTGATCCTCAGTGCTGACTATGAGGAACAGTGAGTACCATGTGTTTCTTTACACACTGTAATGAAGTCTCTCATGTATCATGCAGATGTATCATGTCCTTGATTCGTGGATTGAAAGGCAAATTCCTTTGTCCAGTTTGTCTGGTCCCCCAAGATATGCAGTCTATCTACACAGAGGAACTAACACTACACACGAGTGCTGAGTCTCAACAAGTGCTGAAAACTGCAAGATTGGCCAAGACAAAAAAGGCCAGAGAGAATCACCTAAAAGCATTCTTCTCGCTGTGTGATGTTGAAGTAAGTTAGTTTTTTCAACTTGTGAATTTACTGACACCAAGCCCTACAGAACGTTTTTTGGAAAGTTCATCATTGTGATATCCATCATGCGCTCTCATGGGATCGCATGCATGCCAACAATGGTGGGTTATGGAGTGACCATTTGTGGGTGGAGCTTCAGTTTTGGATCACAGATCTAGGTCGAGAAGTGGCTGTTCAGATTGATTCAAAGTTTGTCTTGTTATTCACTGCACTACACTTCGTACTAAATTGGTTTTGAATTTAGCTTTGACGCTTTCCCGAGATGGCCTGACTTGCAGCACTTCTCACATGTGATGAAAATAGACTTTACTGATAGTGCAACTCATGAAGATATATCAAAGGTATGTTAGTCTTCTGGAATTTCGAACTTTGCATTGCTAAAGTTGTACCAGTTGGTAGTATTCGCAGCACAGAACATCCTTACACAGACTGAAAGCAAACTTGGCTACCTGCTCTTATGATGCATATGTCGCTTTGTCATGTTAAACATGTATGCAGCATTGGAGGTTCACACAGAGGATACCATTGCAGCTGTAAGAGAAACTTTGCGTGAATTCTCGACACTGCTGGACGTAAGTTCTTGTGAACAATATTTTCTGGCTGATGTGTCGATGAATCATTACTAGGAATACATTACAAAATCAGAGCCAGAAACTGGGAAGAATTGGAACTTTCCAAAAAAGCACTCAAATGTGCATGTGTTCGACAACATCCTAGCAAAAGGCGCCACTCGAAACTACAACACAAAGCCAAATGAAAGGATGCATGGCCTGTTACATGTGATATACCTCCGACAGACAAATTTCAAAAATGTTGCTACCCAGGTCTGTAAATAACATTCTGCTCAATGCCGTGATTCACTGATATGAATCATAGATCATTCGCTATGACCATTGGCTGCTGACATCGACATCTATGCGTTCTGAGATCGATGACCTGGATGAGTATATACGCCAGCAAGTCGTTGACCCTGAGGCAGGTGAAGAGATCGAAGAAGTTGCAACACATACATATTTGGGTGCGAGGCGAGGCAGTCAGTCTTTCTCTCAGATCGAGCAGGAGCATGCAGCAGATACAGCCTTTTCCAGATTTTGAATCAGGCTGAACAGGTTCTTGAACGAGTTCCTGCCTCAATTTGAAATTCCCTTCCCAGATGGGAGGCGTGTGCATTTTCGACCTGATGACCAGGTAACGATTTAGCTATTCCATCCAACCATTCAAACATTACAATGTAACATCCTTTTGGCAGGTCACAGTATTTCAATACTTACGGGTGAATTACAAATTTATGGTCGACTGGCATCTAAAACGAGATCTCCTTCGATGCAACCCATCTTTCTTTGGATCACCAAGGTATGATTGCGTCATGGTGAAGGCCCAAGACCAGCCTTTTTTTGTGCGTCTCATTTTCTTGTTTCGCTGCTCAATCGGCGAGATCGTCCTTTCTTTCGCCCTTATTCATCCCTATGATGTTGCCATCGGTCATCGCCATAGGCAGGACATAAATTTGGGGCTGTATTGTGTGTGAGCCAAACCTCGTGCATCTCCGGAACTCGTTTCCATTGAGTCCATTATTCGAGGTGCTGTGCTTGCCAGTGACCCTGCTACAGCTGGGGATTATTTCGTTGTAGACACCATCGATACCGACATCTTCCTCTGAATGAAGTCACTACAAGCCCATTGTGTTAACCAATTTGAATGTCTAGCCTTGACAGTAAGTGATTGATACTATCAGTGTGACAATCTACCTCATCACATCTCTAATAGAATGTTCTGCTCAAGCTTGTGCTGGTCTTATGAAACATTTGTTGGAAGCTCCAGTGTTATAAAAATGTTTCTCATCCTACAATTTGAATTCCTTTGTTTCTTTTGTCAGTATTTGATACCAATAAGTTAGATATCATAGCTCTTAGACTGTTCAATGTGAATTTACTATGATGTCAATGATTAAAAATTCAGTAAATAGCTTACTAATAAGAGTAAAGATTATATCAACATTATTATGACTCAATAAGCCATGAGGCCATGCCGTGGGCTTCTTGACTTCATTCCGTCCGATAGCATCATGCCAACCACAGTCATTGTTGACACATCTCCTGTGTTTCTCAGCAGAAGTACAGGTCGAAGTTCCTCTTGCCAAGAGCCCAAGAAGAGCGTCAGGCCCAAGACTTTGATTCAGACAAAGGCAGCATCATCACCAGCGTCACCATTTACTGGCAGAAGGAGGGAAGATCCAGTGGCAAAGAGTGGCTTTGCAATCCAGCCCAACATCAAGGCCTCACCAGAAATCCTGGGAAAAAAACATTCCAACAACTCCCTCTGAATCTGCTAACATCCCATCGTGATTGGATTATTATTTGGACAACATTCTGTGTGAAATAGCTAACAGTGACATACCTATCACAGGTATTATTTAATGATTCAACTAAATCCGTCGATCGAACCTGACATTCCAGTAACCTTTCAGGTCCATGCAAGTCGGTGCTTGAGTTTATAGCAAACTCTGAGAAAGAGGTCAAAGTATGTTTTGATAAGACTGATGGACAATGCCGGGACCTAACGATGATATCAGGAGTTCTCAGATATTCATCCAGAAGATTTTGAGACAATATCGCACATCGTTGATCAGATCCAAATGACCAAACAGAAACCAAGGTATGTTTTATCACACGGGTTCATTGTCTATATCACAATCGGTTGTCTATAGATTCACTTACAATTACATTAACTGCCATCTTCTTGTCGAAATGCCAACTCGTATACATGAAGTCCCATGCACAGTATTCAAGACGTGGTTTGACCAGTTCCTGGACTCTCTGGATTTCAACCGCACCCTCATTGACACAATTGTCTTCATGAATGCCGAGGTTAAAATGGAGGAGCTCTCCACCATCCCAGATATGACATTGTCTGTCATCGTAGGGAGCCCTCACAGACCTCTCAAGGAGGCCATCCCTGTTCTCATAGAAACCGCATTCTCTCAGCAAACGAATCCGCTGATGAATAAACTTCAGAAGCAAATTCATGCCAAGCCTGAAGTACTCATGGTCATTGCAACCCTCATAGGAGAGACCAAACCATACCATTCGCCTGAACGCTCGTCTACTGCATGGGATACCCTATTGCAAGAAACGCCAGCTCGCGAACTTAGCTCCTTCCTTGACCTCCAACCCTTGGATTCGAAGCCCACAGATCCCATCACCATACTCGGTCACCAGTGGTTGGGTCTCCAGACTATAGATGTTTGGGTATGGGTGAGAGGAGATAGTCCCATCAATATCAACCTTGTGACTGGGCCGCGCACGGCTCATGGTGTAAGTATTCCTTCGTTGTCTCAGCATAGTACTAACTAATCTTTTACAGAGACTGTACCCTGACCCACACATGGATGCCATAAATGCTATGATCAACCAGGGTCTACGCTTGGTGAAAAACAAGTTGGGTTCCCTCTGCAGAGAGGTAAACCAAGCGTGCAACCTCACACCTTTAGAAGAATCTCCTATCACCTTCCCTTTTGCTTGGGACCATATGTACAACTCCTTAATGGGGGCGTCAGGAATTACGGCCCACTCTCGTTACCTGGCATGGTACGCAAAGTCTGCCAGAGGTGTAAAGCGCGTGGAACACCCAGATTCCCACGACAATGAACCATCATCTTCAAACACTCACTCTCGCACTGATGCTGGACCAAATGCTACAGTCAGCAACAACTCTGTGCAACCTGGTACTTCCAGTGCACAAAACGATGATGTGCAACATGATGCTGGTAAGTCCAAGTCTAAGTCGAGGGGAAAGCACAGGGGCGCCAAGGGCAAAGGCAAGGGCAAGGGCAAATAGGATTGCTACTCGCCAGTGTGCTGATACATAATGGACATACAGATATCTTTGGATTGTTGTCATTGCTGATAGTCTCACTCACCTTGTGTATTTTTACTTGTTGTTCTCGTGTTTACATTCTGTGAATCTGTCTTGCATCATATGCTAGTTATGTGGTGTACAGTATGTGTCAGACCTGGACCATCCAATACCATGATGTCGGTTTATTATTTAGCCCTCAAAGCTTGAAGTGAGTGACGTCACAATGAACCTGGACCTTAGACTAAAGGTAATTAATACATCATCGAGCAAGTGTTTTTTTGTCTTATCGTTGTCATACTCTGAGTCGCAGGCCGTCCAATTACATCATGATATAACCACCGGGTGAACAATTAGTACATCATTAAATGTTTAATGAAAACCACAGGTTCCTTGGAGTGTACAATGAAGTAACAAGCACTCCAATTCAGAACTCACAGTCTCACACATGGATGTTATATTAACTGACGGCCATCATATTACATTCAGATGCAAGCTATCGGTACGTCTTAAGGATCTTGTGTTATTATTTCAGTTTGTTGACTTAGCATTCCCCAACCTTTAAATTCTCAAGTGTACCCCATCAACTCTTCAGGTCCCCACTGCGTCGACTACCTTCGCTACATCAGGTTTTATTCTCAGTGCTCATAATATTGCACTATAATTATGTCAGGCTCCGATTCCAACTCCCTGTCTGATTCTGAATTGAGGAACTCTCTCTCATCAGATTCAGAAAATGAAGGGTTCAGAGTCGTCGCCCCACCAAGTGAGGGCGCCACTATTGAACATTACAAGAAGGTACATTCCAGTTTACTCCATGACTTAGATTTCACTTGTGCTAACTAATGTCAGTATGTAAAGTATCTTCAACCTCAAAAGGGTCAGTTGGAGAATCACAATGCGTGCCTAAATGCGACAAACAATGTGCTCCAGTCACAACAGCCACGACATTTTCATAAAGGTGTCCGTGGCCACGCGTCTATATCTACTCCAACTTCAATGACATTGGCCCCAACTTCAATGACATCCACTGCTGCAACCGACAAATCTGATCTAGCCTTGGACAAAGTCTTTATGGAGTTGGGAAAGAAATATGCACTCACTGTCGAGATGTTTATGCTCGATGATTCAATTTTCAAATCACCCTGTCCGGATCCTCCTGTCAACATACGAAGTCTGTCTCGTTATGCCAAGACGTCAGCAGAGAAGGCAGCGCTCATCACAGAGCTCTATGGATGCATTGAGCATACACTGCACCCTTACATGCCAACTACGCATTTCATCAATAAGGTCTATTTTATCTTGCTCAATGTAACTCAGGTCTGACTGTTCTGCATTAGTTTTGCAGCGGAATGCAGCGCATACGCTCCTTGTACATCTATACATTATGGTCTGTAGCTGGGAGCATCCTCGACATGCCATCTCCAAATTTGCTGCATCGTTTGATTGCACTGTAGAGACTCATGCCTCTCATGGCATGATATGGCAGTTTCCACCAAGGAGCGCATAGCACGAACTTGTAGCGTCACTCAGTGTGCTATCTGCAGTTATTCCTATATGAGGCGCAGCTTTCTCGCGCAATGCACGCCATGTGCGCACCATTCCCACGCTTCGCGATGTATACGCGCACGCGCGTTCCCACGCTTGAGCGCCCTATAGCGCCAGCCATCCAGAAGCATCCATCCACTGTCCACCAAGCCCTCTAGTGCGTATATTTCTATTTCTCTCATTTGCATATTGTTCCGTCTTTATTTTTATCATGGACTCTCACTCATATATATCTTTACATACCTACTCAGTAGTGCTTTGGCTCCGCATGACCGCGCTTAGGTGCACTATATAAGCACCAGCAGTACATACTATTACTTACTTACTCTTCCTACCTTTCACTGACCTTTTCACCCAACTTTACTTACATACTTAATACCTAGAAAGTCACAGTAGAAATCTATTCATTAGCACATCGCATCTCACATCTCTTATCTTGCTTTATATCATCACTTAAGTCTAGTCTCTCTATTGTTTCCGCACACACACACACGCTTTCCCGCGCTTCGCGCTAATATGCGCGCACCTGCGCACTTTCTCGTGCTTTGCTTCAGTGCATATCTCTAGATCCTTGCTGCACTTGCTTCCCCTTAAGGGTCGAACATGCTTGCCATCTCAAGCATAGCAGACTAGGCAACACACGACCTACAACATTTTTTAGATACAGTCAGGAGCATCATTTGTTCCTCACAGTATAGTTGTTTCTACAGCACGGCTGTCCAGCAGATGACAGATGTGATTGGGTGGGTAGTAGGGAAGGGAAAGGAGTTCAACATACTCAATGCGCCTATTATCTACCCTAACCTGAAGGTCAATGCTAAGAAGGTATTCGGAAACTGGCTCATGATCGCTAAGGTAGGATCCCACATACTTCCTGGGACACTTCCTTATCTTTATCCATAGTTCATTAAGGTCGCAATCGGTGGGAAAATGTCAATATATTCCAAGTCCGGACGTAGCGGAGGCCTGAACCCCTACTCAAAACTATGGAAGCTGAAAGGTTGTACACCTGGTTTAATTGTGTGTGGTGTGACTGTGGTGTGTTCTGAATACTCCATCTAGATGTTAATTGATTACTAAATTTTGTCTAGCTTATTTTCATTTTGTCTCCTGATCAGCAGTTCCCAGGATCAGGCATCGGCACTATGTCATCAATCCCCTACTCGACCGTCTTCCGAACTGTGAAGAGATTTTTCGTCACCCAATGGAACCATGCATGTGTTCAAGACATCGTCAAGAATATGAACAATTATATCTTTGAAGATGTTGACAAGACATCACGTGACGTTAGCCACAATGTCGATGATACTGGCAAGGATCTTAGTGATTCACTAGATCGGGTCATGGCATGCTTAGATGATGATGATTCATCTGAATCAGATGATGAGAACTGTATCGTGGTGTAGAAACAACGATACTGAGAGGAACAAATGATGCTCCTGACTGTATCTAAAAAATGTTGTAGGTCGTGCGTTGCCTAGTCTGCTATGCTTGAGGTGGCAAGCGCGTTCGACCCTCAAGGGGAAGCAAGTGCAGCGAAGATCTAGAGGTATGCGCTGAAGTGAAGCGCGAGAAAGCGCAGGTGCGCGCAAGGTACAAAGGCATGGGAATGTGTGCGCGTGTGCTTAAGTGATAATATGATGCAAGAGATGTGAGAGTGTGAGATGTAAAGGAATAGAGTTCTACTATGTTCTGCTAAGTAGTAAGTGCTAGGTAAAGTGAGAGGTAGGAAAAGTCAGTTGAAGGAAAAGTAAGTTGGAAAGTAAGTTGAAAAGTAAGTAATAGTATGTACTGCTGGCACTTATATAGCGCACCTAAGCGCTGTAATGCGGAGCCAAAGCGCTGCCGAGTAGGTATGTAAAGATATATATGAGTGAGAGTCCATGATAAAAATAAAGACAGAACAATATGCTAATAAAGGAAATGGAAATATACGCACTAGGGAGCTTGGTGGACAGTGGATGGATGCTTCTGGATGGCTAGCGCTAGAGGGCGCTCAAGCACGGGAAGTGTGCGCGCATGGCGCACATTGCGTGGGAAAGCTGCGCCTCATATAGGGATAGCTGTGGATAGCGCACAGAGTGACACTACAAGTTCGTGCTATGTACTCCTTGGTGGAATCTGCCATATCATGCCATGAGAGGCATGAGTCTCTACAGTGGCACCAATTTCCCATTCTGAATCTGCAGCTCATATTCCTGGACCAGCAGCGGTCGTTGTTACGCCTGCCCTGAACCTCACTCATACTGTTGTGACCTCACTGTCCAAGCTTATCGTGGACCAACGCACATCTTCTGGGTCACCCACCGCTCCTGTTCCTAGATCCCCCCCTACTGATATTCCAGTCACTAATATACATAGTGCCACAACATATCGATATCACAGGAGAGAACAAGACTTCAGATGCGCCTCCTCGCCATTCTTCCCATAAGGCTTAGTTGATATTTGTATTTCCCCTCTGAGTTGTTGTCTACCCTTTCTATAGATATTCACAAGGTTTCGGTGTTTGCCATTGGTGTTTGAATATCATCAAATCATTGCGTCTGGTTCGAACTTGGTCTAAGTCTAAGTCCTATCATTATAATCTCAGCCGGTCATTGTGCTTGACCCCAAACCTATTAGAATAATCATAGGTAGTAGTGTCATCACTCCTGATGGTTTTGAACGCTGGTGAGTCAACTAATAATATCTGTTGCTGCAATGGCACTCAAATAATAAATTAAAAGTTCGCTGCAGATCTTTTAATTATCATTACTACGGAGTCTAGCTGTAACTCTAGCTAACATGCATATTATAATATTCCCTGGACCTCCGATTATTGCAACAGCCCAGAAGGTGAACATCCATCGACTTGCTTTCGTGCACCAGTGCTGACCTCACATCATTGACCGCTCGTTTCGAAAGCCTTCTGGAACCGAACAATCAATCAAGCAATGCTATCCTGGGGTTTTACTCGCCTGAAATGCGAACACTGTATTTACTATCAACACACCGATACTAGTACCCTACTCGTCATGATCCACATTGTCGATTCTTTACCGTTGGCAGCACTAAAACAGTACTCGCTGACTTCAAAACACAAAATGGACCGTGTCTGACCTTGGTGAAGCCCGTTTTTGCGTCAGGATCGCTATCGACCGTGATCGTACCTCCCGTGCTATCACTCTCTCCCAATGTGCACTCGTACTTGGAGGCGAACATAATGCACGCCTGCTGGGATACACTGATAGCAAGCTGAGTTGACACATGTCGCTCCATTAGCAGTTATTGCCTGGGTAGCGGTATACTGGTCACTTGGAGTGACACAGGTATGGTGTGACACGGGCACAGGCACAGGCTGGAATACCTTGGTTACCTACCCTCCACAGGGTCTGAATCTGGCATTGCAGATTCAGCAGAGGTGTCGACATACTTTAGGGCTCAGTCTGTCTTGATTATCATACTGCACCTACCCATTGTAAATGTTGATGCAATACATTTTAATTGTTTCACGCTTTCATTCAGAATAATTTAAGTACCCATCTAGATCAACCCAATAAGTATTCTAATGTGGTCACAATGACCATCAAGGTGAGCGTCGAAATTACGCAGAGCTCATTTTGAAGTGCATCTTGATGCCATCCAAAATGCAAATGCACCAATCACAATATGCTTACAAATGCTCATTTTGAAGTTTGGACCTATTATTTCAACAAGTATGGAAATATGTGTCATGATGCGATAATAATGACTATTAAAATGCTGACTGATTGATCACGATAGAATTATGCTGTCAAGGCATTTTAATGCATCAAAATGCCACAAAAAAAGTTCTGACATAATGAACCAGGTAACCTCCTGCCAGAATATGCTTCTTCTGATGAGGAGATGGATGTTGAGGGAAAGGTTGATCTTCCTGGTGAGGAGGTTGAAATGGCTACATAATTGCTCAGTGATAGATGTACATAAATCTTTTTCAATGCATGTTACCTATGCCACAATTGAATGATTCAATGATCACTCCCGATATCCAGAACTCGAAACTGTAGATTGAGGTAGATATCACCCGAAACACGAACACCCGAATGTCAAATTATCAGTGCCGAACCCCAAGTCCCAGGTGCCGGGTGCCGAGTCCCGAAATTCGGAACTCAGGATTTGACATTTGAGATGAACGACATCTCTCAGACAATGTTTAAATCAACCTATGTATATCTGTAAAGATTTTACTAACCCCCAATCCCCAAACCGAGATGTACCAACCCCTGAATCCCCAAACCTGAGACTGCCGGGTCTCGGGTTTGGGGGTTTGGGGGTCCTGGAACTCAGAACTTGGGGAAATTTGGGGAGATCAATAAAATTTGATTTACAATTGAGTTTATTGACAAACACATTGACTTACCCATGTTTGAAATATATTTTGTTCTACATACTGAGTTCCCAGTTCCAGACCCCCGAACCCCGAAACCCAAGACCCGAGACCCTGCAGTCTCAGGGTTCGGGGGTCCGGAACCTGGAACTTGTGGAAATTTGGGGAGATCAATAAAATTTGATTTACAATTGAGTTTATTGACAAACACATTGACTTACCCATGTTTGAAATATATTTTGTTCTACATACTGAGTTCCGAGTTCCGGACCCCCGAACCCTGAAACCCGAGACCCAGCAGTCTCAGGGTCCGGAACTCGGAACTCGGTATGTAGAACAAAATATATTTCCAACATGGGTAAGTCAATGTGTTTGTCAATAAACTCAATTGTAAATCAAATTTTATTGATCTCCCCAAATTTCCCCAAGTTCCGAGTTCCAGGACCCCCGAACCCCGAGACCCAGCAGTCTCGGGATTCGGGGGTTGGTACATCTCGGTTTGGGGTTTGGCACTGAAAATTTGACATATATATTTTGTGAGTGTTGTGCTTCTGGTGTCCATGCTTAGAAATAGGATATGTTGCACACCAGGGTTCAGGTGTGAGGTTTTTCCACTTCAGTCCTCGATTATTGGTCAATGCCACACATGGTCGATTCATGTTTTTGTGCTTAGGGGTTTATATTTGGTGGTCAATGGTAGGTATATGCACTCATAGTGTACATGTATCCTACGTGTTTGATTCACTGGTGGCTACATCAGCTGTATGTCTTGATGGAACATATCTAGGCTCACCCATATATGTACCCATCTATGTACAATTCCCCCACGTCAGCCCACCCATCTATGCATTATCCCCCACCTCGGCCCACCCGTCTATGTAATACATCCTATGTTGGCCCACACGTCTATATAATACATCCTATGTTGGCCCACCCATCTATATAATTATACCCCACCTCGGCCCACCTGTCTATATAATAAATATTTTATCGCACCCTCAGCCCACCCGTCTATTTGATATCCCTTTCATCAGCCCACCCATATATGTAATACTTTTCATGTCGGCCCACTTGTATATGTAATACACCCCATGTCAGCCCACCTGTCTATGTAATATTCCCCTACCTCGGCCCACCCATATATGTAATACACCCCCGTCAGCCCGCCTGTCTATATAACAATATTTGCCTTACATCTCTCTTCAGCCCAGCTGTCTATAATATCCTACTCTACATATTACCCAGATGGGCCCACCCATCTCCATGAATGGTCATATTCCCCCAGCCCATCTGTCAACATCAAGGATATACATATATATCATTGGCATACATGGGCCCACCCGTCTCCATCAGAAATAATATGTGTCCCGGCCCATCCGTCATCATCGAGAATATACACAACATGGGCCCATGATCCGCTGGCCCATCTCATATGGGATATTATGGAGGTTGGGTGGCCCGTATAATATGGAATTTGTCACTGAAGGGGCTCCATTATTAGATACGCACATATTCTGCATCCTCCCACACATGTTGCTGCAGCCACCATGTCAACTCTTCCGGCACCCATTTCAGCACTCGTGTCACCCATCTTGACGCCATCCCACACGCTAATGCATGTCCCCAGCCGGCGCCCATCGCCACCAATGCGTGAACCAACATGCACCACGTCATTCACATTGACACCAGCACCAACAGCTAACACCACTTCTTCTGCACACGCTGTGCCAACGCCAACGCCATGTGAAACACTCCGCACTCAACCAGCACCCACACGACACGTGGACTCGACACCATCAAGTGTTCATGTTCAGACCACGTCAGCAAGTGCCAACGACATCGAGATGTGTATGATACCTCACGTGCCACATCACTGGCACCTATTCTCGCACACTCATCATTTGCGCCACCATCCCCACCAGTTGTACCTTTACGGCCACCATCCGCGATATCATCGCCACCATCACTATCGCCCACACCTCACAAAACCTGGACTATGCAGCCCACACTGCCACCAGCAACCGCAACCCCGTACCACCCAACTGGGCACTGGCACCATGCGCAAATGACCAGTACACGCCAGCTAAGGCTGGCATGTCTTGAATGAATGCGGATGGAGAGATGCAGAGGAAGGGAGGAAGGAGAGAGGAAGAGATGAGCTAGAAGAGGAGGGAGAACATTGTGAGGAGGTGAGCCTTATCCCTGGACTTGCCGTCAAATGGCCACCTTCGAACACGACACCAGCGACACCACCACGACCCGCTGTAGGGATTCATTTCTGGCTGGGCTTGTAGAGACTGTTTTTACCTTACCTTATGTTGGCACTTTTGTAGCTTACATAAGCAAGTTATCTTTTCACCAGTTACCAGTATGAGTCTGAGAGATCAGCAAGTTTCTATCATATTTCCTCTCCTCTGAGCTTTGAGCCTGGTCCAGAAACCCTTTAGGGTCGAATAGCAGCTAGGTTCTGCAAGACCCAACATTGTTCAGACTCACCATCTGAATTGTTGTACCTTCACCACACCACCCGTCCAATGCCAGCACACACCAACACCAAGTGTTCGACCCAATGATACACCAGCAAATGCCAACAACGAAGAGATGTGAACGCGCAGAGTCAACAAAGCATTGGAAGAAGGGAGAACTGGAGAGAAGAGGGGAGGAAGACAGATGGAGGAAGAGAAAACTGGGAAGATGTATGAAGGAAGTTTGGAGGATGAAGAGGAATATGTGGAAGAGCCCACCTGTTACAATGGTATGTCACGTGCGGACTGGGATAATCTAACAGCGATGATCACGACAGTGATACCTCGTGCTGAGAGTCCAAGGTCGGCTCCTACAGACAAGTAAGAGTTGTGTACACTTGCGGAGGCGAGCGATGATAGCGGTTACAGGCAGAAAGGGTCTCAAGTCCTTCTGAAGGTGCGAGTCGAATGTCAAGCAAGTAGCTTTAGCAAGACAAGGAGTTCAAGGTAAAACCCAGTAAGATTAAAGTAAGGAACATCTACTGTAATCTTCGACCTTATATAAGGCTACTCTATCGTATCTAAGCTCAGCTTGAAGCTGGGTTCTAATCTGCTTATCTATTGAGTCAGATACCATGCATGAGGCAGGCTTCTATCTAAGATAAGGACCACAAGGCGTCCTTCTATCAGTACATGAGGCAACCATGAGGCTTGCCTTCTATCTTGATAACAAGAATAGGTCTTCTAGACCTATGTCATCATATATCATGTAAGCGATCCAGACCGCTTATCTAAGCCGGCATCTTCCGGGCTTCTCTTCTAGTCATCATCTGTCATCAAGGCCTAAAGGCCCGGGTATCGTGTCATTGCCATGCAAGGTGGCAGAGGACATATCTGTAGCTGGGGGCTCGTGCCATGTTACTGTAACACCACCCATAATGACGCCACTACCATCTCTAGCCACACCGCTACCATCTCTAGCCACACCACTACCATCCCTAGCCGTGACGATGCTTTCGACAGCGATGAAGACACTATGTCAGCAGTTGTTGCCGACCCATGCGCCAATATTTGAGTGTGCTCAGCCTCGTTTCCGCCCTCGCCACGCAGACACAGCGACCAGGGAGTACAAACGGACTCGAATGTCCACATCCAATGCATAATGTCTCTTACTCATATAACAACAACACACACACCATCCAGCCTATCACCAACATCTATACGCATCAAAGTTGATGACACATCAATGCATCGACCATCTGCATCTTTCAACTGGGCTGATAATGACAACGTGCACCTGTATACCCCACAGATACATCCGTGCGACTTTTTGTGCCTTCGCACCTCAACTTCAAACCTATTTTCGAGTTTACGACGATGACAACCCACACACATACATACGTCTCATGCTAATGTTAATTCATGTTCACATTGTTCAATAGATACACGTTCACATTCTCACTCATGGTGTCACTCACATCTATGACATTCACACTACCCTAGATATTTTGATTCTATTCCTTTTGATTCACATCCCCAACCACCTAAGCACTTCACTACCTACAGATTTCATTCTTTGCCTTTTCAGTCACCATCCTCATCACTGTTACATGCCCAGTTCTCATCTCACCGGCTCTCTTCGTTGCGACCCAGGAGTGTTGCATTTTTTAGGGGGGGTATTTGTAGTAGGAGGGTGTGGCCTCAGGGGCATCAGCCAGGGGTGTCAGAGGTCTCTGGAGGTGTCAGAGGTCCAGTAGTCCATAGATAGAGCCATGTTCTCATAGGGTTAGGTCTTCAGTCTATCACCACCAGCTGTTGCTTGGTTGGTTTGCTTGTCTCTTAGCTTGCTAGTGTGGCCCTCTCCACCAGTCCATGAGCAGACTGGTCTGCAACCAGTCCAGGCTTAAAGACTGCATCAATACAAACATTTTGAGCCTCTTATCTTGTCAAACAGGTAAGATTTGAGCAAGTTATGAGCATTACAGACAGGCTCGTATGACTTTTACAAGCAATTATTGAAATGCTCATAACTTTCCCAAATATTGACCATTTTTATGATCTCACCACTGATAAATGCGCCTCAATGAGCACTATCATACAGTAATATATAGGGTAGGGCTAGGGTTACAAAAGACCGGTTGCAACCAGTTTGAACCAGTTTTTGTTAGTTTTTCATTTTTGGGCTGATGGGAGGCAACTGAGACAGCAGTCCAGTCCAATTGCCAGTCTTTTTGCAGTCCAGCAACTGGACTTTAAAACTCTAAATATGAGTACTATTTATACTGTGCTGACAATGGCTGCTCAGCGGGACTGGAAAATACATCAGGTGGACATCAAAAGTACATACCTTTATGCAAGTCTGCAGGAGGAGATCTATATGAGGGTATCCCCAGGATATCCGAAGGATAGTTAGGAGGGAAAGGTATTAAAGTTGAAGCAGAGCTTACTTGGGCTAAAGTAGGCTAGATTCAAATGGAAAGAAGAGTTGGCTGGAGCATTCCAGGAGATAGGATTCAGTCAATTGAAGATAGACCAAGCAGTATATTTTAAATGCATCTCAACCAAACATATCATTATACTTCAAGATATCTGACCTAGAACAATTGAGTTGGCTATTAGGTCTCCATTGTCAAATGATTCTACCTAGGCAATGCCAAGAATGTCCAAATGCTCATGGAAGCAGAAAGTATCCTATCCATGGACCAGTCTCCCAGCATGCACACAGAACTTCAAGCCATGCATAATGTACCTTACTAATGAGCTATTGGCTTGTTGATGTACACAGCCATGAGCACTTGCTCTAACATAGTGTTTGTGGTCACAATGCTGTTGCAGTTTATGTAAAATCCTAGTGGGTTCTATTGGGAGGCCACCAAGCATGCCATCCAGTACCTAAAAGGGGCAGCTGAGTTTGAGCTTACTTTAGGGTCCACTGATGCAGGTATTAAAGCATTTGTCAACACTGACTGGGCCTTGCAGCCTCACAGACATTCTATGAGCAAGTACATAGTACTGCTCAATGGAGGTCCTGTAGCTTAGAGTGCTGTAACACTTGGGTCGGCATTGGGCATGTATTTCATCGAAAATACATCATACATTCCTCAACATTCTTCCGATCTTCCAAAAGTTCCGCGCACCTGTCCAAGTCATCTGAAGGTCGTCCATTTAACTCTGAGGCCCTTTTTTTTAGCCTTTCCGGTTCCCCATACCATGTCCAGTCCTTGTCCGTTTGACTTCGCTGGTGCATTTTTCACTTAGTTATCTGTTATTGATTATGTCTAGGGGCTCATATATTGAAAACCCTTGCTAATATGTATAGATATGCACCTTGTGTATTATTACATGTATATCTTTGTAGTGGCTCACCTTGAGTCTTATTACATTTCAGATGTCTTATCTCACTACAGTTTTTGCCTACACATATTCCGGACTTTCACACAGTAGGATATATTCTGGTTTACTAATACTTGCAATGGACTTCACTTCCCTTGCTACAAGTCATAGTTAGTAGAGTCACTTACAGATTTTAGTACCTCATGCAATTGATCTTTGTTCATTCAGAACGATTGTTTGGCCTGACCGCTGCCATTTTTACTATTGAATTCCTTAAGTCTTCGATGAGCTTTGCTAGTTATACTACGCAAAGTTCTATACTTCGACAAACCACTATATTCTATACCGGAAACCTTGTTGTTTCATTGGAGGCTCACCAAAAGCTTCACACAACCTCGGACCTTCGTTTCTTGATGTCAGACCTCGACTGGACACTTCAGACAACTCATCAGTCACTTCGGACAATTCTTTGGAACTCTAAATGTACTTGAGGTATCTTTTCCTTCTCTCTCCTTTGATCTTAATAAGATTTCCCTTGCATTTTATATCAAGAGATAATCCTACAGGCAGTCTCTTTGGGATGAACATCTCACTTGCACTATTGAGTCTTAAGGTAACATCTTTTGTATAGCCCACCAGAAATCAATTCTTTATAGTGTACAGAAGTAGCTTATAATCATGCTATCTACTGCAGAAGCTGGGTACATTGCATTAATAAGTGTAGCTCAAGAGGTACTGTACCTTCAGCTACTCATTAATGAGCTCTATGAAGTGCCAAGCCTCCCTACCTCCATATTCTGTGATAACCAAATGACCATAGTTTTAGCCTCAACAAAGAAGTTTCAATCATGTACCAAGCATATAAATTTGCATTACCACTTCATATGCTGATACATAAAGAACAGTACCTTTGAACTTCTCTATTATCCAATAGATAACAATATTGCTGATGCCTTCACCAAAGCACTCCCTCATCTATATCTCCAAAAGCTTCATACCTATATAGGACTGGCATGTGCTCAAGGGAGAGTGTTGAGGGAGAGCAGACTAAGAGATTTGAGAGATAGGAACAGCCAGAGAATGATAAGGTTGCTGGTTCAAGTGCAAGCCACAACTGGCCAATGGGTAGCGCTGAGATGATGTTACACTGAGTCCTGGAATATGTGTCAAAAATATATGTTTTTGTTTCATTTTTTATTTACTCACTATAAAGTCAAGCACCCTAACACACAAACATTTAAGTTCTTGAATAGAAGCTGAGATATAAGTATTTTTATAGTTGATTCATGTATGTTAGTCTCAGCTGATAAAAAACCATAGTGTACCTTGTTATTCTAGGTATAATACACATTAATAGAGTTCTTGAATAGAAGCTGAGATCATACCTTGTCATTCTAGCTCCATTGTTCCTGTTCCCACGAGTCTATTCATAATGTAATCAAGTCTTCACACTATCAGGGCTATGCAAGCACACAACAAAGAGCAGGGCAATAAGCAAAAGCTGTTATTGTGCCAGCTCCTTATTGCCTTAGGGGCCTATGGCCTGGTGAGAGGAATTTTCATCATGATATAAGTTATTCCAAATTTGTATACTCCCCTAGATTGGGTAACACAAACAGAGGTAAGGCAGTTAGGGTAGTGACACATAAGACCCTTTATAAGATTGAAACTATTTCTATCCCTGCTGCCTTTCTAACTTTTCTCTCCCACTACTGACCTAGGCCCTATCTTTAAAGAAGGTGGGTAGCTGGAGTAATGTAGCTTAGTGGTCAGCCTAGCCCCTTATGTCAAAGACCAAAATCTATGCTCCTCATACAGCAGAAGCCTTGTTCCTCAGCCTCCTCACTTAGGGGCCTGGATTGGCAAAACAAGAAACTGAGGAAACTAGGTAATAACTATAGAATCCTAGATAAAGGTAGAAGATAATTATGTGAGTAGTAAAAATACAAACATAATCTAAGGAAAATGTCAGAAAAAGATGCTACATAAAAACCATTAATTTCTGCTTAGTGAAAAGTTAAGCTTGACAGCATGTTATGTAAGGACCTGAGAGACAATGCAAAAATGGCCTCTACAAGGCTATAAAAACTTCAAGTCCTCCAATGGATTGAATTCTAAAGGGTAGCTCACTATGTTTAAACTCAACAGTGGATGCTGTAGTATTGAAGAAAGAGGAGGTGAGCATCTCTAAAAGCTTAACTGCACACATAGGTGTTGATAAAACAATAACACTAGGTCATGGCACATTATTATTAACTCATAGGCTTAGCTGAAATCACTCTCCCACTGCCATCATTTTCTTTATTGCCTTCATCTGCTTCTGATACTCAGTTTGATTTTAATGTTGCTAAATAAGTGGAGCTGGACTGGATGTCCAATAATTACCTCAATAAGTTACAGCAAATGTTTATGGACATTCAACTGGTGTATATGTTGCAGATCTTACTAACCCTCTCATACATGCATTTATTGTACTGCCCACCTATGATCATTCTCTTGGTCCCACTATAACACCAGCTCCTGGTTCTTCTACTCTCTAAATTTCACTTATTATGCTGCCTACCTCTGATCATTCTTTCTATCCTACTGCAACACTGGTTCTCAGTTCTCCCACTCTCTCAATTCCTATAATATCACTATCTGCTTCATTACTATGAAGCATCTGACTTGCCAGGTGATGGTACATTGTGCTGCTAAGCTAGGATACCTGCACAAGAATGAGGAGTGAATGAAGACTTAATGGGAGAAGGAGATCATTATGAGAAAAAAAAATCTTTTGGAGATGACAGAGAACATTGTTATTAGTGAAACATAAGAGGCAGATGCAGATGAGAAGAAAACAACAAAGATTTCATCTATCTAGTTGATAGAGAGTTAGGCAAGAGTGAGACAGACTAGCAGGCCTAGTTAGAATACTATTCTAGCTTAGACTTGTCCCAGTATTTTAGGCTGTTATCCTTCAAAAAATCAGTTCACAACTACAATTACAACTACAACTATACATAATATCTCAATTTTACCGTTTTCTGCTAACCAGCCCATTTCAACTTACCTGTCTGAGCCAGATCTACACCACCAAATCCTAATTATATATTTGTATGGTCTTTGCATGTATAATACTCTTTGTAATGAACTCCATGTCCTCCATAGTTTCATCCACAGATGGAAATAGACCTGTGGGTCTAATATGTATGGCCTGTTAGCCATGTGAGTCTGGTCAGCTAGTATTATTTCATTGTCCTCGTATTACTATCAAAGAAAATACTACTACAATAATCTAAGAAGTAATACATACTCTCACATATATACAAGGGTTTGCACCCTCAATCAATGGAATAACAACAAAGCATTGTCTTTTATATACATCTATAGCTATGATGATGATTTGACTCATGAGTTCGACTGTTACAGTGGACATCATAGAGATGGTAGAGGTGGAACTTCTAGTCTAAGCACTTTAGAAGTAAATCACAGACACCTTGCTGAACAACGCTACCTAGGGGTGGTGGTGTGAGTGAGGAGATTAAGACTCAGGACTTATTATACCTAAGCCTTTTTTATTGTGTTAGTAGTGCTATGAGATCACCTAATGACTTGGACTGATCAACACAATAGCCTGATTTGATATTGTTGTCTCAGTGAATCTACAAAGTCTTTGTCTCCCTCCAAAAGAGTATCCCAACCCTCCTCATTCTCATTCTCAACATTACTCAGCTTCTTGTTCATGGCAGAGGGCACATTTGAGATTTTAAGTGCCTCATTAATGTCACTTTTGAGGTGACCCAAAGTGGCTAGTTTAAGAAGGTGCAGAAAGATGAATGATGGATGGGGTCGAGCCCACAGGTGATGGGCCATAAGGAGACCATAGACGAGCTAAAAAGTTTGTATATTCCCATAGTAGTAGACACAGGTGCAAAGATTTCATAGCTTGGGTTGGATCAGATAGGAACAAAGAGTTAACAGGAACAGACTCACCAAAGGAAAAGAGCACTTGGCCATTACACTATATTACTAAATAGTCTTTGTAAGTGCCAAGTTACTAAAGAGAGTACATGTCTTGCCAGATCATAGAATTTTGGGTGGTATTTAGTATTATGCTGCATCACTTCATATAGTTGACACTCACCACCCTCCACCCTGCTATAATACTCAAGCTTACATTAGGCCTATATCAAGCTATTTTACAATATATGTCAATATTATTCTATCCAATCATATTTCTAGCTGTCTGATTGAACATTTGCCAGATCCAACGATTAGGTTCTTTTGCTTTCATATTAGAAATTGTTCTTCCTATGTCCTGTCCTATCAGATCTATCCCCACTAGGTGCATAGTTAGTTGTTTTCATATCACTAATACTATACTATAGACCACATTATCATATGTCTACAGTACTATGTGTCTTATTATATAAGACCTCAGACCTGAAAATTATCACTACTACTTTTGCCTATATCTTTCTGATATATTTCTAATACAACCCAACCTGAAAGTATCATACCTGATGTTTTTGTCTTCAGACTATCTTCTTTTTTATATAACTAACTATTTTATTTTCCCAGTTAGCAATCCCTTGAATTGAATACACTTGTCTCACAAATATAGCAGACTAGGCTGTGCAAGACCATAACATTTATATTTGACTGAGTGCTTACTTTGTATAGTGTCCAACCATTGTTATATTCCTACACTGCCCTTTGCTATATCATATCTTCCCAATTAATATTAAAACTGGTCACTGTTGTAGCAGACAAATTTCCATACCCTCCACATGCAATACCATTACCAACTTGATTGAAGATAATGTCAGAAATACTTTATTACCTGCACCAATTCTCAGATGCACACATGAAGCTCAAACAGCAAGCTAATGATCCACATCAAGTTGCATGCTACAAATAAATCTGGATTGGGGTAGGTTAGTTCAGGAACATTATATGGGAAGCACTTATTCTGTGAAGTAAAGAGTTCTTAAATTGAGGTCAGCTGCATATGCAGAAAAACATGATTGAAACTATTAATTGCTTCTTGGTGCACTGTTTGGTCCTTTGTAGGTCTCAGTATTCTACTATTCTTCTCAGATGCTTCCCCCCTGTGTAATCTCCAAACATCCCTCAGACAGTACTCATTACACAAAACACGTACCACCATTTGACACTCACACAACTCATGTTCCAGCACATGTTGGATTCTGACTAAGCACGAGGCACGAGCACGAGGTAAGAATAAGGTCTATGCCTGTTTTGAGAAAGAAGACTCATGCTTCTTTCTTCCTTTCCCTTCGTCAATCAATACTTGCTCCTTTCCTCTCTCCTATTCTTCCTTCAAATCTCTGACCTGCCTGTATTGAAAAAAATAAAAACCGAACTCTTTCTACACCAAAACTTGAAATGGATAGATTACACTCTGATTCAAGTTTACTGGTATGCCCTGCTTTTACGAGCGAATGCTACCGCGCCTCTCACGCACCTTTCATTTCAGCCACCATCACAGAGGAACAAGCTGCCGAGTCTCTCCGTTTAGTTTGGGTCACCACCAACGAAGACCTTTGCACTCAGTGGCAGCAACAGCTGACAGAAGACACTCGCCTTCGTGCCGAACAAGAACTCACAGCTGAAGCGGAAGCTACTCGCCTCTGTCAAGTCCACCAGCTAGAGGAAGAAACAGCTCGCACAGACGAGCGAAAGAAGAATAGATTCAAACATACCGACATCATGATGCATCCTCAGCCAGACACCAATGAGGAAGAAACTTTCGTTTCTGATTTCGCCTTAAGGAAAATTGACAAGGGACACTTTGTAGAGCTTTACTATTGGACCAACTCTGGCTTGGAGGAAGCTCTCTTCTCCTACAGCACCAGAGACAATGAGGGACTCATTCCTTCAGAGCAGGATGGAGCTATGGTTTGGATCAGCGCGGCGGCATCCAAGCCTTCCAAGCACGTGGTCCCTGACCGTTTCCTCTCCCCAGTTGACTTTGCACAAGCTGTTCCTCGGATTGTAGCCGCTCTCGAGGAACACGATTGGCCCAATCAACGTGTTTTAATGCTTGCAAGGTTCTGGGGAGCCATTATGACTCACCGTTACTGGAATTCCAACAACCAGATCGCCCAACGGGCTTTAATGATCTATCAAGAGGAACAGCGGAGGGCGTGGCACATGGCTGTTGCACTAGGCAATGGTGCCTGGGACCTCTCCATCATCAGTGATACCATGCTAGCTTGTCTTTTTGACCGCGTACTTCGTGAATCTCGTCATCGAGATCATGAATCTCAGGTCAGTACTTATCGACTCGCAGCCAAAAAACAGCACTAATTATTTCTTTCGTTCACAAAATCACGCCTTCAAACCATGCCTTTGACACTTACTGTGTTTTCTGTTTGCATTCATGTCATTGATGTACTCTAAAAATTACAATCTCAATTGATGCCTTTTGCATTCACCACTGCATTGCATCTGCGTTTGCGTGTCTCACTCCTGGTTGTGTCTCCCATTCTTGCATATAACATCACGTTCGCATCATTCTACGGCAACAGATGAACAACATCCCACCTCCATGGAGCAGGAATCACGACTCTTCTTATAGCAGTCGTTCGCGAGGCAGACACTCAGAGTCTTCCTCTCACCATCGTTCTCGACACTCACATTGATCCAAGACCCCTCCCCTTCGGAAATGCACCTTGTCTCCCCCCTCAAAGGCAGCCAAGAAGGGATCTGAACACCATGCTGCACATCAGACATCCTCCAAGCAGGTTTTTTGAGAAGGTGCACACAGCTCTCGCTCCTCCACTGTGTGTGCCATCTGCCTCAGAAGGAACAATCACAGTTTCATTGAATGCTCTGCAGACCGCTTGTGGGATGGCGTCCAACCTACAGTTGCCACCAGATCCAACAAACAGCTCTTACTGCGCGCCTCCAACAAACCTCTTTGCATCAACTGGCAACGGTCCAAATGTACCAGCCAAGCACACGACGATCGCCATATTTGCTCGGGTTGTCTCGCCACCACCCATGGAGCTCAAAGCTGCCCTCGAGTACAGAAAATTGCACCCGATGTCTCCTTATAATGCTCATATGTGGGAACACCAACTGGCCATCCATAGTCTGCTCGACGACTATCCAACTCTACCCGATAGCTTACGTCTCGGTTTCAACCTCACCTTCCCTTGCATCACCTCATCACAAACACCCCCAAACCACCCTTCCCTCCTCACTTTTCACGAAGCCTTTGACAAGTTGCTTGCTCGTGAACTGCTCACTGGGCGCTATCTCGGCCCTTTTTTGCATATTGAACTCTTACATTTACTCGGTCCTTTTCAGTCTTCGCCCATCTCCATCATACCTAAGTCTGGGAAACCAGGGAAATTCCGCATCATACAGAACTTTTCTTTCCCACTGGTGCCTTCACCAGCCTTCCCCAATATATCTATCAGTGCCAGAGTTGACTCAGACACCTTTCCGTGCTCCTGGGGAGCATTTGAGTCCATTTGCGCCATCATCTGTTCCCTCCCGCTGGGGTCTCAGGCAGCCACTCACAACGTGGCTGAAGCTTACCACACAGTTCCTCTGCACCACTCCCAGTGGCCCGCAGCTGTCGTGCTCCTTCCTGGCAGGTCCTTTTGTGTGGACACGTGCATATCCTTTGGTATGGGCCCTTTGGCTGGAGTCTATGGCCATGTAGCCGATGCAGGTGCTGACCTTCTTCGTGCTGCAGGTCTCGGACCACTCGTGAAATGGGTCGATGACCATCTCTTTTTTTGCATTCGCCGGGAGCATCTGGAGAGTTACAACCTAGGGCGGGCCTTTACACATTGTTTGCTGGAGCATTCGGGCCAGCAAATATCTGGAGGGAGACTATGGTACAAGGGTGAGTCATTTGACAATGGCACCTTTGATGTTTACACCGAAAATTGTCGCTTTCCGTTACAAGACCTTTCCTCCCGCTCTCCTCACTCGACATTTGACTCAGAGTTCACCTTCACGTTCGAAGACATCGACAGTGTTTCCTTTCCCCTTGGCATCCCTTGGGAATTGTCGAAAGACACTGCCTTTGCCTTCACCACCCTGTACCTGGGGCTTTGGTGGAATATCCCTGCTCGAACGGTCGAACTATCAATGCTGAAAAAAGCGAAATACTTGGTCTGCATTGTCGAATGGAATTTGCGGGAGAGACACGCGCTCCTGGACGTCCAACAACTTTACAGCAAGCTTTTACACTCCTGCCTGGTTGTCCCAACAGGTCGCGCTTACCTCACCTCTATGGAAGCCATGCTTGGCATCTGCGGTTGTCGTCCTTTTGTCTCACATCACCCCATTCGACATATCGATGAAGACCTTGACTGGTGGACTGCACGATTGCATTCACCCTTTGTTGGGCGACCCATCACGAGATTCCCCCCTCTCATCGACCTCCACGCCTTTTCAGATGCGAGCTCCTCCTTCAGCATTGCAATTATTATCGATGGGTATTGGAGGGCGTGGACTCTCCGCAACGATTGGCAGACCCTCAACGGTCAATGCGACATTGGTTGGGCAGAATCAGTTGGATTCAAACTGCTCGTTCATTCCATCCTCAACTCCAGACGCTCCTCCTCCACAGCCTATTATTGCGTGTTCTGTGACAACCAAGGTGTTGTCAATGGTTGGCGAAACAGGTGTAGCTGCAATAGAGAGACCAACCTGGTCTTTCGACGAATCAATGCTTTGCTCGAGCTGCATGGCAATAGTGTCTCCTTCCACCTCTGCTATGTCCCCAGTGCTGAAAACCCCACAGACAGTCCATCACGAGGGTTGTTCCCCCTGCGTTCACTCCTCCTTCCTCCCATCCTCTTGCCAGGGGACCTACATCTCCTCCTTCACGATGTGGACACCCACTCCACTGGGATGCAATTTGTGGGACACCGTGAATGCACAACTCACAATGAGATTGAGCACGAGGACGAACCTGATGACGAAGAGTGGGGAAAGCTATTGCTGCAGCTTCGCAGCACATGGTCTGACTAATGTTTCTCACTTCACAGCGACGACTCCCATCACCATCTCTGAAACAACAGCACACACTCGCCCATATGACATCTCCCTAACCCCAAACCCTTCTTCATTACGCCCTCACTGCCTAGCTTGTGATCATTTGCGCTTGTGGCGGCCCCACGTCACTCGCTCTCGTCGAGATCACACAGGTTCACTCGTCAATATCACCGACAGCGACATAGATCGCATCATCACAGTCCTCTCTCACTCTCATGCGCAAAGCATGCGGGAGACTTATGGTTCCGGTATTCTTGTGTTTCACGTGTTCTGTGACACACGTGCGATCCCAGAAGAACAGCGCTGTCCAGCTTTGTCAGTGCTCATTTTGGCTTTCATAGCGGCTTGCTCGGGTTTATACTCTGGAAAAAGCTTAGAGAACTACTTCTATGCTGTCCACACATGGCACTTATTGCATGGTCAGCCTTGGTATGCAGATAGTGACCAGTGCACTCTCGCCATGGCGGGAGGAAGACGCCTTGCGCCTACCACCTCCAAATGACCAAAACGCGCACCTTTCACGATTGACATACTAGTGGCCATTCGTTCGACCCTGGATTTGTCCTCTCCATTGCACGCTGCAGTGTATGTGTGCCTCATGACTTCATTCTTCACCATTGCTCGTGTCAGGGAGTTCACTGTTCCCTCCCTTCATGGATTTGACCCGCAATGCCACATCAAAGTGAGTGATTGGCGCTACGACACCGACCGCCACGGCTTTTGTGTCGCTATATTACACTTACCCCGGACAAAAATTTTGCTCCTCGGAGAAGATGTATACTGGGCGGCTCAGTCTGGACCATCTGATCCAGATGCAGCCTTGTCCAATCATCTTTCTGTGAATCAGCCGCCACCTAACACTGCTCTCTTCAGCTGGAAGCACCACGCCGGACTGTGCCCTCTCATGAGGAGCGAGTTCGTCAAGTGTCTTCAATCTTCCAGTGAGAAATTGGGACTTGGCTCATTGAAAGCGCACGGTCTCCGCATTGGGGGAACCCTGGAATACCTTCTGCGCAGGGTACCTTTCGAAAACGTCAAAACTATGGGACGGTGGAGTAGTGATGTGTTTGTGTTGTATTTGCAGAAGCATGCTTTAGTGATGGCGCCATTTCTTCAGGACAAGCCAGTCCTGGAGCCGTTTATGCGCTATGCGCTCCCTCCTCCACTTTAAGTGATTGTGAGTCCATTTCAAGCTCCTTCTGTTTGGGGATTCAGCTCACGCTGGATGTGTCGCTCGCTCCTTGTCTCAGGGTATCTCAGCTCAGCTTTCTCCCAAAGGCGTACCTTGGTCTAAAGCCCCGGTGGGCTTTGCCCAAATAGACTTGTTATATGCTTGTTATATGCAGATTCCTATCCATCGTACCATATTGTACCTTACCTCCCTAATGCTCTGACCAATGTCATGTGATCTTTGTCCTTCCCAGTCATCTTCAAACTAAGAGCATAGACTCAAGTCTGAGAAGACATTTCAACAAATTATCAATAGGTACTATGAATGTTAACCATAGACCCCTAGTACCAACTACTCACAATTCCTACTAGTGATAATGATGCTGTCTTCTTTGATGGACATATTTCTGATGTGTTGGGAGCTCTCGCAACCTTTAAGAGTGCTTCAGGGGAATTCAATTCTCTATGCAAATTTATTGTAAGACATTGTCGGCAATTTTTTTTCACAGGATTACCTATTTGGGTGGAAATATACTGCGGGATGTCAAACTGGCTCACATGATGTGCACCTGGACACCAAAGGCCAATGAACTCTCGGAGCCATCCTGGCATGATACACCAACTTGGTTTCACCAAATCCCCCTATCAAAAGAAAAATTAGAAGGTGTGATACATCAGCCAGGCCATATTGAGTTTTCCAGTAAAACCTTACCATTTTGGGCTTCACTGCTCGGCCACCTCATCGCATTGCTGGAGTCATACATGATAGAGGCTTAGCAATGGAAAACGAGAAGGATGCACATGGATTCAAAGAGATGGTTAGCAGGCTCTCAAATCACTGTTTGATCCTGTTCAGGTACATTATTGGGATGCCGGTGTTGTGAAAACTCTTTTGACTGACACCACACTGGCTTTGAGTGGCATACTGACTCAGGTATGTCATTCGTGTTGTGATCATCCATGCTACTGATTTTTAATATATGATTTAAATTTTAGACAAGTCTGACAACATGCCTGATTTGGGAGCTCAGGCCGAACATGCTAAGCCTCCAAGTCAGAAGTCTCCTGGAATACGTATATTCCAGGATTTGAAGACCATTGTTGCATGGTATGCAGCAGTCTCGACACTCTGTTCATCACCATATACCAACATTTCAAGAAATAGTGAAGTGGGGTAAAACTTAAATAGACCTCTGGATATAAGTAACATATTTTCTCCAAGGGTTAGGATATACACATTTTTAGTTACATCTTCACATGCATACCTGGCTTACTTTTACCAATATTCTTCAATGTTGTCCTATGTGTGTCTAATCAGTCATTTCTGAGTACATTAAAATATGATCTATTACTAGCAACTTATACTTCTACCTAGCAGCTATAAGATCTTTGTATTGACTTATATTGTTCATTCCTATAAATCACTAAGCTTTCTAAATCAAAAATGATCATTGCTCACCTTAAAATATCCAGAGTTAAGTTTCTAATTTACTATAATTTTGAAATGTTGTATTAATACAAGTTCTTATTTATAATAATTATCAGATGAAATATATACAGACTGGTAGTTAAGATTTACTGATGAGCTCAGTATATGTAATACTTTGTAATTAGCACATTTTTTTGTTACTTGAAGGTCTTATATGAAAGTATAACAACAATACTATTATATATGATAAAGACTTCTTGCTAGTCCTTAAGTTCACAGTCTCCAATTTTTCTAGTTTTTATAAGAGGTAATGTGGTGAGTTCTTGGAAGGATTTAGTTTGTTGTTCTCTTGTATAATCTTATAAAATGTTGTAGAATATTCTGTGTTCTGAATAATTTGTTAGGTTTGTTTCAGCCTAGTAGGTCACATTTTAACCTATG